CCATTCTTCTATTGCTTCCACTGTAAATTTCTTGATGGCATAGTAGTACCTTAAAGTGCTAATATATAGTAAATATTTCATAATGAGTACTATAATTGGTGACTATTATATCACAAAAATTAACATCATTTGACTTATTTGGCCTATAATTTTTATCACACCCAACAACAAATCAATTTATAATATTTAACTCATGCTTTTGAAAAAAAAATAATTGCACCATTTCTCACAGAAAAAGATTCAATTCCTATCAAAGATCTATAGACATTATTTGCATAGATTCCATAATCATTATTGATCATAGAATGCTGTGTGCATCCATTAACCCACTCCTGAATTAGTTAAACCATTGAATTTTTCTTGCCTTTGTGGGTGTGAATATTAGAATCCTTATTTCTTTATTTTTTAATTTCTTACATACATGAMAATAGTGGAGCGCATAACATTCATAATTTTTTTGCATTATGATTCTTAATACACCTTTATACCACAATTTATCAAATCTCTGTTTGTATATATGGTATATTGACAACAAGTTCACATCTTCATACATGAATTTTGTATAATGATGACTGTCTCCTTCCACTATCCTTGCTATTCCTTTTCTCCCTCCCTTTTCCTCCCACCCCTAATCCCTATCTAGAGGTRATTTTCACCCATGCTCTCCCTCCCTATCCCACTTTGAGTCACCGGCCTTATATCAGTGCAGCCAATATGGAAAGCAGTGTGGAGATTCATTGGAAAGCTGGGAATGGAACCACCATTTGATCCAGCTGTTCCTCTTCTCAGACTATACCCAAAGGACATAAAAACAGCATACTACAGGGACACAGCCACATCAATGTTTATAGAATCCYTTTTTCTTGTGTTCACAGATCTTCAGAACAASATAAAGTATAACAAAGAAAGGACCCAAAGATCTCCACTTCAGCTTGGATCTAATTTAGCTTTCAAATTTCTGGATAATAAGCCTGAGCCTGATATTATATTTGCTTGAAACTATTGCTTCCCCCCACCCTGCCAACTAGGAAGAAATCATGGCTATTATGAAGGAAGAAACAAATGTGTTGCCAAGGGAATAGATGTGGCTGTTCAAAATTTCAGTCACAAATACTCAGAGGACATCTCAGTAGCAGGTGACGTCTATGATATCCACCCTTCATTTCATACTCACCTCCATCCCTTCTTGCTTTGACAATGAAAGTTATATATGACTTCTAATGCTAGGTCATCAACTACTATGAATTTCTGTCTTGTTCATTTTAGAGCTCATTCTTTGAGACTTCAGCTATGTTCTATGGTGATGTCACCACCACATGAAGAGGCTATATGTTGACATTCTAGTAGACAGTCCCAGCTCACTACAGCCTTTGTTTGTTACTTCTATACTAGATAAATGTTAGACAATGTAAATTTCCCAGTGTTGAGGGATGGAAATTTTGGAAGGTGGTTAAGTTCCTAATGGAGTACCTTGATCTTTTTAAGTCTTCTTATAAACTTAAACTTCGGAGAAATATTAGTTTTTTTTTTTTTTCTAGCGAAAGTTTACCTTTACTTAAAACTCTTAATTTTTCTTGTCTCCAAAGAATACTACAAGTATTCAATGAAAATGCTTAGCTATTCCAACATTGAAAGTCCCTTAGTCTAAGAAATAAATATTTAAAAAATTCTCTCTAAAAAAAAAAAAAAAAAGAAAGTCCCTTAGTTATCTGTTAAATCTTGGGAAATTTTAATGTACAATTTTTCTATTATTCTGTGTGGGTGGCATGTATTTTATCACTTTGCATACAAGGCTTAATATTAGTATTAGATTCTAAGGATGATTTATGTAAATTTTGGGTGCTCATTTATTACCTCTCTCTGCAGAAATGCTTTGCTAGCAAATTTTGGTGCTCAGCTTCTCCTAAGTACTGTCTCTCAAATCAGCAAGATATCCTGGATCTTTTAAATTTTCTCTCCTTGCACAATGGTCTAGAAAATGCTTGCAGGCAGAAAACTAGGACATTTGTGGAAAAGGGAGACCAAACTTGTGTCCCTTGTCTCCCTTCTCTCTAGGAGAAATTTTTATTCGGTGTGTCTTGCAATATCAGAAACAAAAGTAGTTTCATAAATTTTGTTTAATTTTAAGATTAGTTACAAAGGAGTAGAAGTTCAGTTACTCCCTCATAGACGAATATATGAACATATAAATCAACATATGAATTGTAATAATTATGTGTACTATAGGCACAGGGCCATGTATAAAGGAGGAATATTGCCCAAGTACATTAAATGATATAATAATCATAGTGCCATCATAATTTTTAAAATTACTATTATACACACTTTATTCATTGTCAAATAAAATGCTAATAAAACCACTGATGTCAAGCATAATATTATATAATATCACCAAAGTACATTTAGAGTCCAATAAKTTTAGAAATTTGACAGTTTATATTTTTATGATTATATTTGTGTGAAAAATACATCTAAAATTCAAATAATGACTACATCTACTTTAAAATTTAAATTTAAAAATTCAGATTACAGGGCTGGGTTGTGGCTCAGTAGTAAAGTGCTCACCTTGTACATGTGGGACACTAGGTTCGATCCTCAGCACCACATAAAAATAAATAAAGGTATTGTGTCCATCTATAACTAAAATACAATATTTTTTAAAAATTCAGAATACAGAGAATCTTTTTATGTTACAAGCTCAAAGAAGTGAAAGATAATATGATGAAAGAAGTGCTTTTTTAAATACAAGTAAGGAATGGGGGGGGCACAGGGGGAAATATTTATTTTTYACTTATTATTAAGCCAATTGGCAATTTAAAACTTTCCCATAAATGCTTTTATTCCTTTAATAATAAAATAACACCTTATGTCATTGCATAAATATTTGTTGGCTTCATTTTGACATGTACTTTTCTTCCTTAGTGGTAAAAATATCAATGATATTGGCACAGGTAGGGTGAGGAAGCCTATCAACTAGTAACAAAAACAAATATACACAAAGTCCAAATTCAGAACTTGTACAAGCATTTTTTATTTTTTATTATTATTTTTTTTGGTGTGTGTGTGTGTGTGTGGGTGTGTGTTAACCAGGGATTGAACGAAGGGGCACTCCACAACTAAGCCACATTCACAACCCCATTTTTGTATTTTATCTAGAGACAAGTCCTTACTGAGTTGCTTAGCACCTCACTGTTGCTGAGGATGGCTTGGAACTCAACACCCTCCTGACTCAGTCTCCTGAGCCCCTGGAATTACAGGCATGTGCCACTGAGCCCCAATTGCACAAGTGTTTTTTTTTTTTTTATATTTAGTTTGTTTGCCACCAAATGATCAGTCATCATGTTTATGCTTATACAAAGACAGACTGACTCTACATTTAAGTTATCATTAGTCTGTAACAGGTAAATAGTTACTTTTTCCAGTAGAGTTCTTGATATTCCTACAAGACACTGCTCTTAGATTGCTTCCTACAGATTGCTTTCAATAAGTTTGATTTTTTTTTTTTTGGCTCAGTAGTAAAGTGCTCACCTCTGTTTATAATATTGCAGTAATTTAGTTAACCTTAAAGGTTTTTTAAATTTATACTGGAGATGTCAGAGCCAATAATTGAGGTTAAAACTTGGATAACTAAAGAAAAAACTGTGTAATGGACCCTTAAAAAAAGTGAAAATATCCAGTGAGAAATACTTCAAAAATAGGGAATACTTGCTATAGAAAAATATACTGGTATTTTCCTTAACTGAGGAATACTCCCCAGAGCAAATTTCATGTGCTCCTTTTTGGCTATTCTAGGGAATGCAGGCACACTATTTATTGATCAGACTATTCTGATCCATATCTTAAAAGTAATTACATAATCTGGGTAGTATCTTTTATCAGTTTACTGCTTACAGAAAGACAATGATAAAAGGCAATTGGGTAGACTAAATATAAACTGGCTTTATTTTTTTAGTCCCATAGCACCTTTTCTCCTGAAATGTGTATTCCAAACTTCAAATCTCAACTCATCATTAATAACTGTGATCTCTTGAGACACCAAAGAAACGCTAAATCACTCACCATTAAAAGAGAGATTTGAAGACACATGTGAAATTTGAATTGAGAAAGTTACCAGCATTTACAAAAGCAGCTTTTTTTTTTTTTTGAAATGTGAATTTTAGCAAAACTAAATATACGAAAAAAACATACAGATGAAACAGGAGATTGGAGAAATTTGGTCTTGATGTTTGTAGCCAAAAGACCTTTCCATGAATTGGTAAATACTACCCTGCATCCAGCTGCCACCGGGTTTTTCAAAATCACTAACTTGGCCAAATTATTATTAATGCTAATAGAGCTATTTCTAACATGTTTTGCTGTTGATCTAATATTTCCAGATATGACTGATTTTAAAAGCACAGTAGTGAGAAGTCCATTTCTGGAGAGCCAGACTGGATTTAAATCTTGGCTGTTAATATGTGATGTTCAGCCTGTGAATGACTTAACTTCCCTGTGCTTTCAGTTTCCTGTCCTTCAGAAACAAAAACAAACAAACAAACAAAAAGTGGTGGTGGGGGGGGCAGATTCTATCAATATCTACTTTGCTGGCTTTCTAGGAAGGTTACATTTGTAAGTGAAAACCAAGTGCGTGGAATGACATCTGGTGAACAGCACGACGAGAGTTGGCAGAGAGGTGACGATGAGGAGGAGGAGGACTGGTGATAAAGACGGTGRTGACGACGACAACGACACTGTGGTTATGATTTACAGTCTGATAAAACACAGCTAGAGCTCTATCCATCCGTGCTGTCGCATTTATAACGAGGATGTCCCTGAAGAAAAGCTCCGAGGTGCCTCTGGGCGGAGGCGCCGGATGGGAAGAGCTGCGATCCGCGAGGAAGATCCTCGCTCTCCGCCGGGGCCTGGCGCCGGGCAGGGGCGCGGCGCTCGATTTCCTTCCCTGCCTCTGCCGTACCCCTGGTGCGCATGCTCGGACCCGCTCGGGGCCCCACAGCCCGGGATTGATTTAGTTATTTATTTATTTTTTTCCGGGCCGTCGCTACGACCCTGGGCTGGTGGCTCCGGCATGGGGAGTGGAGCCCCCGGAGCTGCGGCAGCGGCGTAGTGAGGGAGCAGCCCGAGGCAGCTGCGGCTCGGCGGTGAGTATCCGGGAAGCGCCGCCGCCATGGGGCTCCGTAAGAAGGGCACCAAGAACCCCCCGGTGCTGAGCCAAGAATTCATCCTGCAGAATCATGCGGACCTCGTCTCCTGCGTGGGGATGTTCTTCGTGCTGGGGCTCATGTTCGAGGGAACGGCCGAAGTGTCGATCGTCTTCCTCACTCTTCAGCACAGCGTGGTGGTCCCTGCGGAAGAGCTGGCTGCGGGATCCCAGACGCTGTATCATTACGGGGTCAAGGATCTGGCCACGGTCTTCTTCTACATGCTGGTGGTGATCATCATCCACGCCACGATCCAGGAGTACGTCCTGGATAAAATCAGCAGGAGGATGCAGTTCACCAAAGCCAAGCAGAACAAGTTCAACGAATCTGGCCAGTTGAGTGTCTTCTACATTGTCTCCTGTATCTGGGGCACCGTCATCCTCCTGTCCGAAAACTGCCTGTCAGACCCCACTCTCCTCTGGAGGACTCATTCCCACACCATGATGACGTTTCAGATGAAGTTTTTCTACATCTCACAGTTGGCTTACTGGTTTCATGGTTTTCCGGAACTCTACTTCCAGAGAATCCGAAAACAAGACATCCCTAGTCAACTCATCTACATTGGCCTTCACCTCTTTCACATCACTGGAGCCTACCTCTTGTACTTGAACCACCTGGGACTACTTCTGTTGGTGCTGCATTATGTCGTTGAATTGATTTCCCACCTGTGCGACGTGTTCTATTTCAGTGATGAGAAGTACCAGAAGGGGGTTTCTCTGTGGACCATCGTGTTTGTCTTGGGACGACTCACGACTTTGGTTGTTTCATTGGTCACTGTGGGGCTACACTTGCTTGTATCCCATTCCCGGGATGGGGATACGGATTCCATCAGTGGAAACGTCAACGTGTTGGCCGCAGAAATCGCTGTTCTGTCGTCCAGTTGCACCATCCAAGCATATATAACCTGGACCTTACTGACCGTCTGGCTTCAGAGGTGGCTAGAGGATTCTAATCTTCAGGCCTCGAGTCTGAAGAAGAAAAAACCCATGATTAAAGGCCGGTCTTCTAGAAAAGGAACAGAAAATGGAGTGGAGACTGCACACAGAGTAGATGCCCCGCCAAAGAGGAAAGAGAAGACTTCATAATGATTTATCAGCTAATTGAGCAATATCTGCAAAGGAATCTGCTCTATCCTATGAGATCTCTCTCTSTGTGTGTGTGCTAGAGATTTTTTTCTGTTCTTCAAAATAGTTTGTGCTCTTTGATCATTGCTATTGTACTGTTTAATGTGTATTTTAAGTAATTTGAGGGGAGAATAAGTGGAAAACATTTTGGTTAAGACTAAGCTACCCAACATCAAAATAGTGAAAAAAAAAAAAACACCTTAAGGATAACTATGATATTTTGTTTTGATTTTTTTTTTGCCTAGAACATTTCCTAATGATTTGTGGGGTTGACTATAAAATTCCTCAATAAGTGATAACAATTTCTTGCTCCCATCAATCTTCTACGGTATTAACAAAGTGGATTGTTATAGCAAGGTCATATTTTTAATATTCTCTTTGGAAAGAATATGGAAAATTCTTTAAAGATGGAAGTTAAATCAGTGTTCTCTAATTGTTATTTTTTTGTTGTTTAGAATTTGCAACTGAGAAAAAATTTGTGAGACCATCAAAATATTCATGTGTTTTATTTTATAGAGAGTGATTGTTAATGCTACATCCCCATTGAAGAATCCAAATACTAATAGATAAATATATGGAACTTATTGCCATATATATTGAATCAAAATATCTTTAATTAATACAAAGTATCACTTAAGAGGTAAAATCATTCCTGTCCATTTTTAACACTTGTAAATGGGAACTCATAAAATTAAAAATGACTGAAGAAAATACATAAGACTTAGTCATTTTTTAAATTTTTATTAATAATAATTTAATGAGGATTCATAAATTTCATTCACAAATTCAAAATTCATAAACCATTTTGAATAATAATGCTTGATTTAAATGAATAAAAAGAATGTCAGCTAAATACATTTGGAAACCCTTTAATGCTTAAATTTTAAATAATTTGAAAATCAGGATAAATTAATGGAAGTTTTTTTTAAAATAATTTTATATGTTACTAGAGAGGCTGARTCAGGAAGATCAAAATATTTGAGGATTTCTGCAAAAGGATCAGAAGTTTTAAGGACTTTAAGTTGACTTGGCTACTTAGCATGACCCTGTCAAAAAAAAAAAAAAAAGAAAGAATTAAAGAAAGAAAAAAAAAAACTAAATGGGACTATAGCTCAGTTGTATAGCACCCAACTGGTTTCAATTCCCAATACTCCCAAAATAAGTAAGTAAAATTTAATAGTCTTTTAATTATAGCTTAATTCCATCTTTTATTGTGAAACATTTATATATGTTAAGGCATGTTTTGGAGACTATATATATCATATATTAACAGAAGCCAATTTAAATGATRGACTTTAGGGGGATAAATGTTTATACTGGCCTTCCTTTAATTCTCAATTTGGTTTCATGTCCATATTGTGAATCTTTAAATTTCCAATTTCTTTTACTATGTTTCTCATCTCTGCTTTTGATAGCCCTCACTTAGACCTATTTAAGTAATTCAACTTTTTCAACCAATAGAGTTTGTAAAAATTAAACTTGATATACTAATATCACAGACCACAGATGGAASAGCCATTCTTGGAGTATTTTCTATTCTATCTGCTTTCACAGGTAAGTAACAAAACAAATTTTCTTCTTTGTTAACTATAGAATTCATTGATCTACATTTTTTTTGTCCGTTGCCTAACACTATGTTCACAATTTATTATTAGCATATGCTCTAAAGTTTAAAGTGATGTAATTCATATTTGGACTAACTGTTGCACAATTTATAAATCAAAGATTTCCAGCTTCTCATGTAATAGARAACTAGAGAATTCTTTCTCACATCCCTTACTATAAAGGAATTCTAGCATGTCACTTGCAGCCCCATTCCTGCTATTTGTTAGATACTTCACTTTCAAGTAAGTATAGCCCTGACTCAAACTGGCCAAAGACTTCAGGACATTTATTGTCTTACATGACTGAAAATGTCAAGAGTTTATTTTGACTTGGCAGTAAATATAATTAGAGTCTTTAGGTTTTCCTGGTTCAGTCCCTCTCAGATTAACTTTATGTATGGCAGAAAACAACTATAGTTATTCTAGGCTTTTTATCTGCAACATTCTGACAAAGAGGAAATAAGAAAACCAGATTTCTTAAATTCCAATTCCCAGAACAATGACTTAAGACTTAACTTTTAGTGATCCACTTGATAAAAGAGTTTATGCTTCATCAGTAGAAAAAGGCAAAATTTTGTTGTTGTTGTTTTAGATCTCAAGTAGCAATTATTCAGGAGGAAAAATAAATAAAGATATGCTAGGCACATCTCAGCTACTCCTGAGTTCATTAAATATGGTCAAAATATAAATATCTTTCAAATTATAAAATTCACATTACAAATGGCATTCAGCCCAATACAAGTAAAGTCTCTCTTTTAAAAAAAATATATCAAAAAATTCATAATAAATCTTTTTTTATAATTGGTTTATTGTTATAGTGAACCAAATGGAAACATACATTCCTATTATGATTTAAGACATTATTTAAACCAGCATTAGTTAACCTCTTGAAATCTCAAATAGCTGATTAATCACCAAAGACTGCAATAGTCATAAAGATATGCCTGATACTTAAAAGTTTTACACTTGATTTATTAACTTCAGTGACTTTCTCCTTACTTAAGGTTGCAGGCATAGATGTCCTAGGATGGATTCAAAGTATTATTTCTTTTCAAAACAAAATTCTACTAGCATTTAAATAAATGTGTATTTCATTTTCCTTACAAATACTATGGATGTGTCTCAGCCTACAATCTTGTAAAGGACAAACATTTTAGGTCTTGCTATTCCTTACTGATCAGTATAACCTGTTTCATTTCAGTAAGGAAGCTACTTTTGCAACATATTACTTTGTTTATTTTTTATCAGTATTTATTTATCTGTAGAAGAACCATTTATAATCATTACAAGCTATTGTTGGAATAGACTCAAGAAGATTAGTTACCACAGTAATAGCCTTTTAATTTGGTAAAATCAATAGTAGTTTTAATATCTCATACAACTGAATTGATAATAATTTACATAGAGTAACAAAAGATTTCTTACTAAGGCTTTAAACAGGAAATGTCACAATGTAAATTTCTTAAAAGTTCTTGGGGGATGCTTGAGAATGTGGCATGTGGAGTGGGCAGGGACTTGGGTCCTTACATTGTGGCAGAGAACACCTTCCAGTTTGGGGAGCAGATTTTTTGTAACCTGGAGAGAAAGAAGTGACTTGCCTGGCTGGAGAGGATAGACAGTATTGGTGAGTAGGTGGAGGTAACAGATTCTTAGTAACATCTGACAAGATAACTGGAGATTTCATACTTTCACCTCCTGAACTTCTCTGGAAATAGAGGATATTTTTTCACACTACCATCTTTCAATCAAATCTACATCCTGTGAGAAACTACCCACATTTTATGGAATGGAGTAGTACTTGTCAGTGACCCTCAATTATGTAAAAAAAATTATAAGTTCTTCATATAAAAAAACATACATTTTTTAAATCTTAAATTGGAATTTTCTTGTAATTATATAGTCAATAGGCTGCCTGCATTTAGCAATTTAAATCCCCATAAGGAAGTTCTTTTTAATCTCAGTACCATCTTTGGCACTTTTAAGATTCAATAAATGGAAAAATTCAACCATTAAGAATTCTGGCCTGGCGAGGAGAGCATGCCTGTAATGCCATCAATTGGGGAGGCTGAGACAGAAGGATCATGAATTCATAAACCAGCCTCAGCAAAAGCAAAACATTAGCAACTCTGAAGGACCCTGTCTCTAAAATGTAAAGTAGGGCTGGGGATGTGGCTCAGTGGCAGAGTGCACCTGAGTTCAATCTCTGGAAATCCACCTCCCCCCAAAAAATAAAGAAATCTCTTCCTGATTTATTACCTTTATTACATGCATTTTCTTCTCTTCTGGTGGTTGATATCATTTGTGTTTTGTGCTAAAGCATTATGCCAGCTAATCTTTTTCATTTTAAATCTCAGAAATGTATCAATGTATAAATTGACTACTGGAAGGGATATTTACATAGCTAGACATATTGTAGTAGAATGTGATAAATGGCTAAAGGTTCACTTGAATTTAAAAGTGAAAAGGGTTAAATTACCTTCACAGTGATGCTATGTATATCTTTTAGCTAGTTTAGAAGTGACTAATGTCACTGGTGAGGGATTTATCTACTCAATGATTCAGGCAAAATGCCATTTTTTAAAAAAGACATGTCCCTAAATTAAAAAAAAAAAAATTAAAGTGTTCAATTTGTTGGGCAGGTAGTACACAACTGCTAACAGTACAAGTTTGGAAAGCTGAGGCAGAAGGATTGAAAGTTTAAAAGCAGCTTCAGCAACTTAATTAGGCCCCAAGCAACTTAGAAAAACCTTGTATTAAAAACAAAAAGGGCTGGAGATGTGGCTCACTATTTGAACACTCCTAGGTTCAATTTATTGTAGAAAAAAAAAAGGTACTCAGTTTGAACACCAGATTAAATCATGTCAGTGTACAGAATCTCATGGTTCAGGAAATTTTAAGAGCATTTACTACTGCCCAACCAGAATTTCTCCTAAACTATCATACATTGAAAGAATTTTTATCCCAATATAAATTTAATATTTCACTCTCTCACAGCCTTTATTACTTACTTAACTACAAAAAAACCTGCTTCCTTACCTCAGCCTTCAAAACCAATAAATACCAAACTGACATGCTTATCAATGCAAATATTGAAATATAGTTTGTAATATTTAAGTCTTTTAAAGATATTTCCTATTATACTGATATATACCCAGCAGAGAAAGCTAATTATATGATTATAAATAATCATGACAGAAGAARTCAGGGTCAATCCCCACTGTGGTCCCAGAGCCCTGTGAACTTAGGAAGAGACTTAAACATTCTAAGAAATRAATTATGAACCAGTAAAACAATACGGATATTTAACTTTCTGAAAAAAATGCCATGAGGCTTAATCATATATACATTTACAGTGTCACAGTTTATTGAGAACATGTGTGTATGATATTTTTTATGTATTTACATTTACTTCATATATATGCATAGTCTCATTTAACATAACATTAATATGTATTACATACATGAGTCTCTGTGTTTATATATGCATATATACTTGATCACATTTGTACAAACATTTATAGACTTTTTTTAAACTTATTTTTAGTGGAGCTTGATTTTAGGGAAGTTTATAACCACAGTGCAAATTAGGGGGCAGTACAAGGTGTTTCCACAGAACCCTTGAAGCCCCC